AGAGTTGATTTACTGCCCTAAAATTTACTGCTCCATGCACCCATGTATCTCTCCTCCCTAACCCATGGCAACCACTGGTCTTTTTATTATTTTGCTAAGGTTTGGCCATTTCCAGAGTTTCATGTAATAGGAATCACACAGTATATAGCCTTTTCAGACTGTTTCTTTCACTTAGTAATGTGTATTTAAGGTCTCTCATACCCTCTAACGGTCTGGTAACTCATCTTCTCCTCATGCTGAGTAATATTCCATTGTTTGGCTAGGCCACAGTTTACTCGTGCACTCACCTAGGGAAAGACACCTTCGTTGACTCCAGGTGTTAGCATTAGAGGAGAAGCTGCAATAAGCATTTGCATGCAGGTTTTTGTGTGGACACAAGTGTTCAGGTCCTTTGGTAAGCATCATGGAATGTGATAGCTGGATGGTATAAGAATGTACTTAGAGCTCTGCACAGCAAAAGACACCATCAACAAAATGAAAAGGGAGCCACTGTATGGAGAAACATATTTGCCAATGATACATCTGATAAGGTGTTAATTTCCAAAATATACAACAAATTCATACAATTTAACAAAAGGAAGACAAACAATCCAATTAAAAAATGGGCAAAGGACCTAAATAGATACTTCTCCAAAGTGGACATACAGATGGTCAAGGGACATATGAAAAAATGCTCTAAGTCACTGATCATCTGAGAGATGCAAATTAAAACAACAATGAGGTATCAACTCACACCTGCCAGAATAGCTATCATCAACAAATCAACAAACAACAAGTGCTGGTGAGGATGTGGAGAAAAGGGAACCCTAGTACACTGCTGGTGGGAATGCAGACTGGTGCAGCCACTGTGGAAGACAGTATGGAGTTTCCTAAAAAAGTTAAATATGGAACTCCCATATGACCCAGTGATCCCACTTCTAGGAATATATCCTAAGAAACCCAAAGCACCAATCAGAAAGGATATATACACCCCTATGTTCATAGCAGCACAATTTACAATAGCTAAGATATGGAAACAGGCCAAGTGCCCATCCATAGATGAGAGGATAAAAAGCTGTGGTACATTTACACCATGGAATACTATGCAGCTGTAAAAAAGAGGGTTCTCTTATCCATTGGGACAGCATGGAGGGACCTGGAGGGTATCGTGCTAAGCAAAATAAGCCAGTCAGAGAAAGACAAGTATCACATGATCACACTCATATGTGGAATCTAATGAACAAAATAAACTGATGAACAAAATAGATCCAGAGACAGAGAAGCATGGAATAAACTGGAATATCAGAGGAAAGGCAGGGGTTGGGGGGTGGGGATGAGGAGCAATTAACCGGGGAACTTATATGCATATATGCATAACCCATGGACACAGACAGTAGTGTGGTGAGGGCCTGGGAGGGTTGGGTGTGGGGTGGAGGGGATTAATGGCGGGTGGGGAAGGCACATCTGTAATACCTTCAACAATGAAGATAATTTTTATAAAAATTAATGTACTTAATTTTATAAGAAACCACCAAACTGTCTTCCACGGTGGCTGCACCACTTTGCATCCCCATTAGCACATGAGAGTGAGCGTCTGCTGCTCCACATCCTCGCCGCACTTGTCACTGTCGGTTTTCTGGATTTTTCCACGCGAGTAGGTGTGTAGCAGGGGAGCGCTCTGCACAGCGTGCTAGTAGTGGGGGTGCTGGGCACGACTGGGGGCAGGGCATGTGGGAGATCTCTGTGCTTTCTGCTCAATTTTGTCATGAACCTAAAACTGCTCTAAATAGCAAAATCGTTAATGAACTAATATGTTACATGAAAAAATATTCACTTAATGCAAAGAGACCAGAAAAGAAGGAAGAAAAGATCAAAGACAGCTGTTCTGGGATGCTCAGGAGTGCGCTGAGGGGCTAAGAGGTCTCATGCCTGCAGAGTCCGTTGATCTGAAAGATCATGTCAAAAATTTGGGATTTCGAGCCTAGAAGTCCCAACTTCCTAGGTAGAGCTTCAAAGCATATGCTCTGTGGCTGGAAGTTTCCACTTTTGGTTTGGGAAGACTATATATTTTACTGTTATTATATTGGTAGATTTCATCTTTCAGAACTAAATTACTACCAGTTTTTGTATGTCTAGTAATTGTGTTTGTGCAGCAAATCCTGCCTGGAACAGGCAGCACATGCCGACAGAGCAGGACAACAATAAAATGTGCCCCAGTGGCTCGTGGAGGCAGGTCGTCGACCCTTTTCTCTCATCCACATCATTCACGGGGAACAGGTGCGGGAGCAGTCACCACGCTCTAGCCAGAGGCCTGGGAAAAGAGCCCCTGGGAAGACGGTGGTTGGGGTGACACAGCCAGGCTGGCCTAAGTCACAGGCAGCTCTGGGCATGTCCATTAGGTCCAGGTCCCGGACATCTGACCCAAAGTAAGGAGACTTCAGGCAGCAGAGGAAACGCAGCCAGAATAGCTTCACTTCTTTCAGTTTACGCAAGACTCATCCTCAAGTCCATCAACCTTTTGAATAATTAACTTAATCTCCCTGAAACCCCATCCAATACACATCCTAAAGGAAGATGGAAACACACTTAATTATGCTTTGGAAACCATACCACTGCCAATTTTAAACCTAGATAAGGACTGTAATTTGAGCTACATTCTCTACATTTTCTGACAAAAATTCACAGTAAATCTTGAGTCAAGTCGGGAGATATTATATCTAACTAGAGGGCCAGTGCACAAAATTCGTGCAAGGGGCTCAGCCCTCACAGCTGCCATGGTTGCCTTGGCCCTTGCAGCCCTGGCTTCATCCGGAAGGTCATCCAGAAGGTCATTTGGCTGTCTGGTCTAATTAGCATATTATGCTTTTATTATTATAGATGCTTCTCTTTGATACATCAAGTCTGTCAGTACCAGAAAAATCAGGTTATGCTGACAGGACACATTCCTCCACTGTGAGCGTATTTATAAGAGTCACCATATTTCAGAGCCCAGAGGGGCACTGAAGGTCACCTAGGGAAGCGGTCACTCCTCCCAAAGGAAGAGAAGTGGTTTTAAAACAATATAAACTTAAGCAGCACACACTGATGTTTGGTAAAATAACGCTACTTTTGACTTATTCAATATAATCACAGGCTGCCCAGGGCAATAGACAGTGTCCACCATTGTTTTTAAAGACATTTTCCAAAAAGATCTTGAGACCGGCATCTGCCTGAGTCTGTATGTCAAGTCCGCACCTTCCTAACTCCCGATGCCAAGTTTAAATCTTGCAGGTGGACGTCTCAGACTGAAACACATATTCATCTTTTGTAATCAAATACCTTAAAAGCACATAACTATTCCCCTTTGTCAAACTTTGTATTCTTTTGGCTCACATAATTAAAAATATCTTCTTGCTATGGTTTCTTTCCTCCTTTTTAATCATCTCAAAACTACTATTGTCCTGACACATTGGCAAGGCTGAGATATTATTTTTTATAAACATGAGGCTTGGACCAAGGCTCAAAATGCCTGATACAAATTGGGGAAACCAGAATAAATTCAAAACATCACATTAAAAAAATGGTTCTGTCCAATAAACCTGCTGAATTCTCGAATGCGCAAACCCCAGTGTCTCACCCGCGGCCGCGACTCACCTTCCGTGTACTTTTGCCCAAAAAAGAAAAATAAAATGTCTTTTCTAACTCGTCAGGGAAAATGCTTTATGAGCAAATGCAACATAACCAATACTCCGTTGTTATAAGCAACGAAAAAGAAGTCCTTGGCTAACCACGTGCTGGACACTGTGTTTCAAAAACTGGTGTGTAAGACGCAGGCGCCAGCACTGAGCTCAGCTTGGAGGCCCAACTGACCGCTCAGGACATTCGCTTCTTTCTAACCAAGGGCCTGTCCGCCTGCTGCCAGCCTGCTGGGCACAGGCCTCCCGGGCACTCAGCCAGGCCAGGCCCCCCAGGCCAGGCTCAGTAACAGCAGCAGCATCGGGCTGACAACTCCCTCTCTGACTCTTGAGACCTTCACCTCCAGCTCCTGCAGACCATCCTCCAAGCACAGTCCTGGCTCTGCTGAGGCCCTAGGACTGCAGAAGCCGCCCCTTGACCCGCACCCTCCCTGCCCCTCCCCCCGCGCCCCTCCCCACCTCAGTCTCACCCCGCACCCTCCCCGCTGGTGGCTGCCTCCTGGAGGGCTGGGCTCTGGCCACCCTGGCACTACCTCTGTGGGTCTTGGTCAGATAACAGATGCATAGACCTGGGGCTTCGATGGCAACCACCTCTCACAGTTTGGGGGGCTGGGGCGTTTCAGGGCGAGGTGCCTGCTGACTGGTGTGTGGTGGGTCGCGGGCGCTCACAGCTCCCCTGGGGGTCCTCGCGTGGAGAGGATCGCTCCTCGCTGACCTCCTGTTTGCAGGGCACGGACCCACTCGTGGAGGCTCCATTTCCAGGATTAACCCCCACAGGCCCCCTGCAGCACCCACTGGGGGTGAGGGTCACCCTCTGGCTTCTGCAGGACAGCACCGAGGTGCGAGGTGCGTGGTCCCTCAGTTGTGGGCTCGCCTGAGGGAAGGCTCCACAGAAGGATGATGCCACTGCACTCTGTGCCCTGCGACAGGAAGTGTGTCCATGCCCTGCAGGTGGCGCTGCCTCACCCCTTCCCCAGGACTGGGCTCTCCTGGGAGCTGGAGTCGCTCCACAGTGCAGGGCCCCACTGGCTGCTTAGGGAGGTGTCCTGCTGGGGAAACCCCCAACCCCATCCCTTTCTCCCTCCAGGCTGGGCCTCGGGCTAGGGGGGAGGTGAGGCATGGGGGCAGCCAGCAGGGCCAGTGCAGGGCGGCCTCAGTCTTCAGGAGGATTTCCAAGGAAAAACAAGCAATAATGTAAATGTCTGGTTCAAAGGTAACAGTATTTAAATAGATTAGACAAACGTGAATAGCTTTTGAAACGTTAAAACTGAACAGTTACAAATTCCAATCGTGTAAGATTATGTGTAAAAAAAAAAAAAAAAAGTTGCAAAATTGCATTATGCTCACCATGACCACGAGGAAACTTCTTCCATTTAACACGCAGAACCAGCTCATGGATGTACAGGGTTGGCCACTCCTCATAGTAGGGACACCCACGGATTAGTTTCACTATTTCTTTATTTTCAAACTTTGTTTTTTCCTGTAAAAAAAGTTATCAAATTTTCTCTGTTAGGTAATTTAAAAAGAATAAAAAAATGGATAAATGTCAGTGAAAGGAAAATAAAGGTTACATGATATGATTTTACATAAAATACACTTGAATTTTATCAGAGCATCATTCTATGACCACGTAACCATAGCTACAGGTCTGCTATTAAAGTTTGATTTTCCCACCTTTCATAATATTTTATGAATGTTTTAGTATTAAACAAAACTGTCATAGTCAAGACTAAACTCAAACGTTGTATTGATCATCTATCTATGTATATAAAAGCCTAAGTGACCATTCAACTGGTAGCTATGACATGCACTGACCACCAGGGGGCAGATGCTCAACACACAGGCCTGGAAACATGGAACAGACTGATGAATCTCAGAGAGAAGGGGAAGGGGGAGGGCAGGAAGAGATTAACCAACGATCTTATATGCATACTAGAGGCCCAGTACACAGATTCATGCACAGATGGGGTCCCTCTGCCTGGCCTGTGGGGATTGACCAAAACCAGCTCTCCGACATCCCCCGAGGGATCCCAGATTGTGAGAGGGTGCAGGCCAGTGCAAGGGACCCCACTGGTGCTCAAATTTGTGCACCGGGCCTCTAGTATCCAATAAGTAACACTGATATTTTGAAAAATAAAAACAAAACTTACAAAAAGAGTTTTGAAAGCCAGCTGCTCTGAAACAAAGATGGAAGGAGGCTGCATTTTGAGAACATCATTAGCTTCACCAACACCACCACCATCGTGGTATTGAAAAAGACCCCGACTAGCAGAGACCTGGATCAAGCACACAGGCTCTCCCCAGCTCCTGCCCACGGAGCACCCAGCCCTGGCTCAGCCCCGAGGGCAGGACCATCAGGAGGGGCCCTCCAGTGAGGGGCTAGGGGAGGGACACACTTTGGGTCTGACTAAAGGAGACATTGTCAAACAGAGTAAAGGTGTCATCTTGATGCCGCAGGATTAGGGGTGGAATTCAGCTGTGAGGCTTGCCTGCAGCTGGGTTATGCTGTGGGAGCCGGTCACCCTCAGGGGCTTCCCCAGGGCAGGCAGCAGAGACTCAGCCACCTGATCATCCTGGAAGCCTAGCACCTGACACCCCAAAACACACATTTGTTGAATGAAAAAATAAATTTTAAATTTATGAAAAACGCCGAAACCGGTTTGGCTCAGTGGATAGAGCGTCGACCTGCGGACTGAGGGGTCCCAGGTTCGATTCCGGTCAAGGGCATGTACCTGGGTTGCGGGCACATCCCCAGTGGGAGATGTGCAGGAGGCAGCTGATCGATGTTTCTCTCTCATCGATGTTTCTAGCTCTCTATCTCTCTCCCTTCCTCTCTGTAAAAAATCAATAAAATATATTTTAAAAAAAATTATGAAAAACAAAAAGCCATAAAAATATACATAAAGTATGGGTGGAGGAGTGGGCTCACAGCCCCAGGCAAGCCCATGGGGCTGGGCCCTGGCATGAGCAGGGAAGGCTGCCGGCTGGATTCCCATCAGGGCACAGCCCGAGCTCTGGGCTTGACCCCCACAGGAAGCAGCCAACCCGTGCTTCACTCTCACATCCATGTTTCTCTCTCCCCCATGCTCCCTCTCTCACTAAAAACCAATTTTAAAAAAAGGAGGTTTACATGTTTGTATGGAAAATAATAAACTGTGTTTCACACACACAACTGTAGGCCTACTTTGGCCCCACCCTGTATATCCATAAAGACCTTTTTTTCCCTACTTCAATTACCCATCACTATTGGAAATTTAAGTAAAGGTCATTTTTATGTTGTCCAGGTCAAATCAAATTAAAAATAAGAGAGATATGAGCATCTGTTCAGAGAGGCAAAATTTTCTTGAATCTACAGCCATGTTGTGTTAATATATAGATTAGATTTGATCATACCAATTTAAACTTTGCATAATTGTCTGCAGAGATCTTAAGAAGTTCACAATCTTCTTCTGTCACCACTGAGGACACCGTTCGGTCCGACTGAATCTGAGCTGTGACATCCAGGGTCCCAAAGGTGCTCCATGGTCTAAGCTATAAGAAACCACAGGCAACTTAAAGTTCATATCACTGGCAACATGAGCAGAGCAGCGAGACGCCTAGGAAGGTCGGGGGGGAGAGATGCCAGGGAGAGAGGCAGGGAGAGAAATGAAGGGGGTGGGGGAAGATGTAGGGAGAGAAATGCAAGGGGGTGGGGCGAGATGCAGGGAGCGCACCTCCAGGGGGGAAGGGGTCAGAGCAACCAAGTGGGTGTCAGGCTTCTGCCCAATGTCACTCCCCAAAGCAAGAAAAATTTCCACTGTTTTCAGAACACGAAGGAAACAGCTTAGGACATCATTCTGTGTCTTTGCTAAACATTCAGTCTTTGAAATACAGCCATAGTAATGTAATCCATTCATTTTTCATTGCTGTGTGACTAGACTCAAGTTATGTATTCATTCTTTTGTTGCTGGACATGTGTTGTTAGCGGTAGTTGGCTATAAAACGATGACATGGACATTAGCGTACATGTCTCCTCATTTCATACATGACTATTTTTCTGAGACACATGCCTAGGGGAGCACTTGCTGGGCTACAGACGTGTCCGCAGCTCAGCATCTGATAGATGTTTTCCGAGAGCAAGTTCTAACTCATCCCCCTTCCCAGAGTGTCAGTGCAGGCAGTGGCTGCTTCTGTGCAGCTTCCCCAACACTGCGTGTTGCCTAATCCTATAATAAAGAGGTAATACGCAAATAGTCATCACACCATCATGTGTAAGGACTGATCAGTAGGAGGTTGGGGCAGCCAGCTAAAAGCAGTGGAGAGCTGCAGGAGGGTGGGGCGGAGAGCTATGGGCGGTGGGCGGGGCAGCCAGCTGAGGCAAGCAGCAGCGAGCTACTCGCACACAGATTCATGTGCAGGGAGCGCAGGGCCACTAGTCTTTAATGTTTTCCCACTTGATGGCAAGTACTATGATTGATTGCACCTTTTGTTATTTATTTACATTTATTTTTAAATGTAAAAATTGCCTACTGCATGTTTCCTGGGTTGCTAGTGGTGGAGCGCCTGCCTTTGCCTGTGCCAACTCCTTTACACATAGGATCTCCTCTGTAAAGGCTGTTTCTGTGGTCAGTGTATTTCCTGTTACACCTGTGGATCGTCATGGGTTCCAGGTAATGATCCTTGGCCACCTGTGAACGTTAAAGTATCATCACCCGATATGTGCCTGTCTTTTCATTACTTACGGTACCAAACAAATATCCTTACAGTGTACTTCTAAAAGAACCTCGTTTTACAAGCTTTTGCTTTCATGACATCATGAAAAAATTCTGCCATGTATTCTAAAATATTTGAGTTCATTCTTTTTACATTTAAACTTCTGACCCCACTTTGATGTTTCTGTGCGACGTGAAGTAAGCATCCAGTTTTAAATTTTCTGTTCACGTAAATACCGACTGCCTTAGCGCCTGTGAGCGCACCATCCCATCACCTTCCCATGTTCTTTATAGCGGTGTTTCCCACCGAGAGGGCACGCACCTGCTGGGCTAACTCTAGCGTCTGTGAGGCTCATTTGGACCCTCTGACTGCCTCTCTTTGGCCATAACAACTTAAAAAGAAGTCTTCCTGTCCATGAACATAGTGCAACTGCATGTGAGCCTTTCCTAAGATGAAATGTAAAACGCTGTGTGAAAAGTATTGTAACATTTTTATTACTTTTAAGTAATTGATACTTCGTGTAGCTATGTAAATAGTATCTTTTTATTAAGGATATTTCTGACTATTACCTATACTTCTGTGAATTCTTGATTATGAAATCAACAATGTATTTATAGAAGTGTCTTATTGTTTTTAGTAATTTCCTTAGTGGTTTCCATTTAGAGAAGAGGCTGGCTAACTTTTTTTATAACAGACTAGAAAGCAAATATTCGCACTTTTCAAGCCATATGGTCTCTGTCACAACCACTCAACTCTGCTATTTAGAGTAAAAGCAGTTAAAACAGTATATAACCAATGCGGTGGGGGGGGGGTCGTGTCCTAATAAAACTGTATTTACAACAGGCTGTCGTCCATGTTTTGCCCAAGGGTTCAGATTTGCCAACCTTGGATCTAGAATTTCATTGATATTATCAAGTTCTCATATTCTCTATTATTTATGTCTTCATTTAAAAATATATATAATCATACCAGAATATGTATGAAAATGATCTCTAATATTTAACATACAATAGTAATATTTTATATAACATATCATATGGTATCATAAAAGAATATTACTACAATATGTTTTTGTGTAATTTGAATTTTAAAAAATTAGAGTATCCATTTTTTAGAATGATATATTCCCTCCTGTAATAGCCTGCTGTTCCTTGTAAATGTTTCACATCTAATTTTCTTTGGCCTCAGAAATTAGGTTTGGAGGCTTGGTATATTTATATGTTAAATATAAGTAAACTGCATTATGTAGAATCTATTAAGCGCTTTGAGGAGGAAAGAATAAAGCTTGGGAACTTTGCTGGTCTTGGTAAAATGTACTGAGCCTGCTGTGAAAGCCTTTGGTCAATCATGGCTAATAGTAGAAGGAAAGGACTCCTTCGCAACTCACTCTTGTTAGGTGAGATATGACTATACGTGAGTACAGCGCAGATCCTCTGGGAAAACAGTTACACCCCTGAGCTTATCTGGGAACAAGATTGTGTGTGTGTGTGTGTGTGTGTGTGTGTGTGTGTGTGTAGTTACATGTTGCTTGAGGAAAGTCTTAGTCATCTCTTTAAGGAATTGTCACCATCTAGAACCCATTCAGTGAAGGCTTACTAAACCCTTCAATAACCTTTTTCTTACTGATTTTGAATAATAGTCAGGGCTACATTTTTTCCAGTTTGATTTATGCAGATAGATTTGTGAAGATGGGTAAAAGTAGTGTCTTTAAAAATTCTTTACACAAAAAAGCCACAAAAGTTAATTTTCAATATTATGATACACACATACACACACTCACATGTGGCTTTCACACACGACCAGCTCAGAACAGAGAACTGTGGTCATCGCAGCTGACGAGGACACTATGTGCATGTGGACAGTCTCCGACTTGCAACAGTTAGACCCATGGTTTTTCAACTTTGTGGAGATGCAAAGGCAATTACACATCCAGTGGGAACTGTACTTTGAATCTTAATCTTCCCCAGGATAGCGTTACATGGATAATCCATGTCATGAGGCTTGGCAGCACCAACAAGATGATTTTGTCCAACTGGAGGCTAATGCAGGTGCCCTGAGCACGTTTAAGTAGGTGAGGCTACACAGTGACGTTCGGTAGGTCAGGTGCATTGAATCCATTTTCAACTCATGATGGCTTTATAGGGACATACCCCATCGTAACTCAAGAAGTACCTGTGTAGACATTATTTGTCATTGAAGAAAGACATCAGGGTTGAGCTCATTAACACCACCATGGTTCCGATCACACATTTCAGGTGATATCATACAATGAACACATGTAAAAGGGGCCCACTTAAACCAAGGAAGTTTATTCCCCAGTCTCAACACGGGGCCTGGTTCTCTGACGTGTGGTCCCCACAATGGCTGTTAGTCCCCCTCATCAGAGCATTAAACCAAATCTGGCAGCTGCGTTTCTAGCCATGCCCACGGCATCACCATCCTCTCCAAGGCCAAGACAAGTTTTTATTTCAGTAACAAACACATAGGTAAGTGTTTAAAATGTCAGTGGAACTGAAATGACCTTAAGGAAAGTGCCAAAATATAGGCATTTATCTTAAAGTATTGTAAAATTGTAGATGCTAAAGTGGTGTATTTTATGATGACCTATCTCACCTGGGAGACCCACGCTGAAAGTTATCATCCTGCCTTTGACCAGGGCATATGTTAATGGGATTCTTAAAAGCAGGGGAAGAAAATAAAAGAATAAAATCTGCCACTGGAAGTAATGCTGTCAAAGAGGGAGCTGAGGCTGGGTCGGAATGCCCAGCCATCCTGCCTCTGGGTTCTTTTCATCATTTAATAATCTGATGAAAGCACAGTGCTCAGCCATCCTGGACACTGTGCTTAGTGAAGAATTTGTTAGGGACAAAGCATAATTCTTGCCATCAAGATAGAGAAAAGCACAACTTCCAACCTGTGGCACTGCACTTATAACCTTTTCCCTGTGGCAGTAACTGATGGGGGGACACACCAGTCACAGAGGAAAGGTGGGCCGGGTTCACTCCTAGCCCCATAAAACAAAAAGAATGTGCTTGGTCATTCTAGTATCGCTACACTCAGATACATCTCAAATAATTGGTGGTTTAATTTCAACTGTTTCCAAAGGGAAAACACTGGTACAGTAAGAAAGCACTATTACAAAGAAATTGGGATTGAATTGAAATGTCAAAATACACTTGAATAAAACATGGGGCTGTTTGTTGCTTGAACAAGTGGGAAGAATCAAATAACTCTCAGGGAAGACAAAGCAATGGACTGGAGGAGCTTCCAGCAAAACAGACAACCAACCTCAAAGAAGTCATTGCTCTGATGTGTTTTCACGAGATGTCAAGAATCTCAAAAGAGCACTTGAAAGACTTATGGTGCTGGTGGAGAAAAATATGCTGCATTGAACCAAATAAAAATAATTTTTGTTGTTGTTTTTTCAAAATTACTGATCTTTAGGCAATAGAATGTTGGCACTCAAAACTCTTGGCGCAAAGAGCGCAAGAAGGGATGGATGTTTGAGAGGACGTGAGCTCTCATGGAGCCCTGCAGTGCGGACACTGTAGTGGTCTCAGAAGGAGGCAGGGAACCCACACAGCCACAGCTGGTTGTGGAAGAGCAACCAGGATGCTGAGATTCAAAACGCTCATGCATGTGGTTGTTCAAGTAATTGTTTTCCTCACATGAACAAGAGTATAGTTATCTTAATTTAAAATTGTGTTTATAGTTATTGATCTTATTCTACTAAAATAGATGCTTTATAGCCACATTAATCTTGCAACATCAGTCTCTTATGTCTTATTCTACTTAATCTATACAATAAAAGCCCAGTGACCATTAAGGCGGAATGACCA